AGCCTACAAACCATATTCGATGACTCCCCCTGAGCAACAAACCCAGGTGGTTGCTCCATATATACTTCCTCTTCAAGATCACCATGTAAGAATGCATTTTTGATGTCAAGTTGATGAAGAGACCAATGTCGAATGGCTGCAATGGCTAGAAGAAGTCTAACAGATGCCATCTTGGCTACAGGCGAGAAGGTATCACTATAATCCAACCCAAAAATTTGAGTGTATCCTTTGGCTACCAAGCGGGCTTTAAATCGATCAATCTTGCCATCTGGACCAACCTTCACTGTATAAATCCAACGACAACCCACTAAAGATTTCCCATGGGGTAGAGGAACCAGTTCCTAGGTACCACTGCTTTGAAGAGCACACATTTCATCAATCATTGCTTGCCTCCACTTAGGGTGAGATAATGCTTCACCTGGAGTTTTAGGAATAGAAACAGAAGACAAAGAAGACAAACAAGTATACTGCAAAGGGGAAAGACGATGATAACATAAATCAATATAATGTGGAGAAGGATTTCGTGTTTGACGTATACCTTTTCGAAGGCAATCGGAAGATCAGACTCAGGTTGCAGGATCGAATCCGATGATGGCGAGAGCGTCGGAGGAGAGTCTGTAGTGACCTCAGGGACAGGTACGACTTCAGGGACAGGTACGACCGTAGTGACCTCAGGGACAGGTACGACTTCAGGGACAGGTACGACAGACTTTGGGTGACGACGCTGATATGTTTGAAGTGGGCGAGGATTGGGGGGGTCAACCATAGGGGTAACTAGTGGGTCAGGTTCCCTAGAATGATGGGGGATAATGACAGATGGGACTTCCGGAAGAGGTGTGGGAATACTTTTCTGTAAAGGTTCCGTAGTAACTTGGCTGGATTCGAAATATGGAACAGACTCGAAGAAGGTAACATCGGCGGATACGAGGTATCGTTGTAGAGTATGTGAGTAGCAACGATAACCTTTTTGGGATCGATGATAGCCAAGAAAGACACACTTTAGTGATCGAGCTGATAGTTTATCAAGACCAGGGGAGAGATTATGTACAAAACACGTGGACCCGAAGACTCGAGGAGGAATTGGGTGGAGTGGAGAGTTTGGAAACAAGATTGAATGAGGGATTTTATTATTAAGGACAGATGATGGCATGCGATTTATGAGGTAACATGCCGTGAGCACTGCATCTCACCAAAACCGAAGAGGAACATTACCATGGAGAAGTAGGGTCCGAGTGGTTTCTACGAGGTGCCGATTTTTGCGTTCGGCTACCCCGTTTTGTTGGGGTGTATGAGGGCAAGATGTTTGGTGCAAAATACCATTGGATGACATAAATGTTTGAAATTGTTGGGATAAATATTCACGTGCATTGTCACTTCTTAAGGTACGAATAGACAAACCAAATTGGGTTCTTATTTCTCGATAAAATTGTTCAAAAATGGAAAAAAGTTCAGGTCTATTCTTCATTAAAAATAACCACGTGCAACGTGAAAAATCATCAATAAAGGTGACAAAATACCTAGACTCAATAGTAGAGACAGTACGCGAGGGACCCCAAACATCGGTGTGAACTAAAGCAAAAGGGGACGAAGCTCGTTTGTTGACTCGACAGGGAAATTGACTACGAGTGTGTTTCCCTAATTGGCACGACTCACAATGTAAATTAGATACCTTCGATAAATTTGGCACCAACTTATGTAATTTGGAAAGACTGGGATGACCTAACTGAGCATGGATAGTGAGTGGAGAATCTTTGGTTGAGCATGTCTGAGATGACAATGAAAGGTAGTAAAGGCCTTGAGACTCATATCCGACGCCAATCGTCTTTCCCGAACTCCGATCCTGCAGGGTAACATTATTATTAGTGAAGGTGATACTACAATCAAGAGAACGAGTTAAACGACTGACTGAAAGTAAATTAAATGGACAATTAGGTACATAGAGGACAGAAGTAACAGATATAGAAGGTAGAATTTGAACAGTACCAATCCCTTCGGATCGGGTTTGAGAACCATTGGCCGAAGTTATAGTAGGTAAGAAACCAGAGGTAGAGAACAAATTTTTATTACCAGTAACATGATCAGACGCACCAGAATCAAGGACCCAAGGTCGAAGAGGAGATGATTGAGAGAGGCAAACAGATAAATTACCAGTGTGTGCTACCTTAGCAGTAGAATCTGAGTTCTGATAATTCTGATACCACCTTAGGAAATCATCGTAGTTTGGCGTAAAGTTCTGAGGAGTAGCCATGAGTATCTGAAGAGAGAAAATATCACGCGATCGATCGCTGGCCGGACGTGCTGTCACGTGTGTTTCAGGTGGCGGCGCTTGAAGCCCACGCGCAGAAGTTTGCCGGAAGGTCGTTGAGAATAGCAACGACGGCGGCAGCTATGCGGTTATGACCGGAGAATTTTGAAAAGTGAGGCAAACCGGAGTGACAACACGGTTTGCAAAAAAAAATTTTAAAAATTTCTCACCGGAAGACAGTGGGTCAACCGGGTAAAGCACGGCGAAGAAAGAATTGTCTCTTAGCAGGCTCTAGATACTATGTTGAAATACAAGAGACTAAAAGACATTTGAATAAACCGTGTGTTTTGAAAAGTACTACGGAGACATTATTATATATAAATAGAATACAAGTAATTACATGATATAGTCGATGTGGGACTATTCTATATACAAATATTCTCAACACTATATATATATATATATATATATATATATATATATATATATATATATATATATATATATATATTTACACATATCAACAATTCTCAAACCCGATCCGAAGGGATTGGTACTGTTCAAATTCTACCTTCTCTATCTGTTACTTCTGTCCTCTATGTACCTAATTGTCCATTTTGGACTCATTACAAGTGAGATCCCGTCAGGGGAAAAGGTGGAACATCTAGCAAAAATGTGTATAATAAAAAGTTCCTGTGCCTGAAACTGGAGGAACAAGTTCTTGTGCCCGAAATTGGAGGAACAGTAGATGTCGTCACCATTAGTACCAGGTTGGACTCATTACAAGTGAGATCCCGTCAGGGGAAAAGGTGGAACATCTAGCAAAATTGTGAATAATAATAAATGCATGTGCAATCCTAAATATTCAATGAACAAAAAGTCTATAACAGAGCAGTTAAACCCCCCTTCTAAAACTAAAAGATAAACTCTTGGACCATAGGACGAGGCAGCCAAAGTTAAATTTAGGCTAGCTATCTTAATTGAAGAGTATTAATGTGATAGGTAACTGAAAAGTATTTGTTACTTTCCCTTTTTGATGTCCTAGCTTCAGGAACAAAAGGATGATTTGGGCACTTCGGAACTGTCATCCATCTTCACCTGGCTTTTGTACTTTGGAAGACTGGTGTTCTTTAGACACTTTGGAAAATTTCAAGATGATTTCTAGATGGTGAGTGTATTGCACTCTGAAAATCTTTGTTTCATGTAGCTAATTTTGTTAGTTGTCCGGATTAGGAATTTCAAGTTTTTTTTTTGTTTTGATTTTTGTCTGATTGTGAATCTTTGTTTCTTGTAGCTAACTTGCTGCTGGGTTATCAATATATGTTTTGAAGATTCTATTCACTACAAAGTTATATAGAATTAGTGGCAGGATGTTTTTATCTAGCCTTTGATGAACATGCTTTTGAGAAGATGAAGTAGAGATTTTGAGAAGATGCAGTTTTCGAAATCTTGCTTTACTTTTTCAAAATTATTACATTTCTATGTTATTTGTAATGATATATTATTAAATTGAAACTATTAATATATGATATATGTTGTTCTATTGCAGTTCTCGAATTCTTTGTTGTTCTATATATTGCTGTTCCATTAATACATGCTTTAGAGTGGATGAAAACCCTGTACCGTTTGATAAGGATGAAACGGACGGCACTCGATCGTGGAGACATACTCTTAATGTGAATTTTATTGCTGTTTTTGACACTACCCGCCTTGCGGTAAGCTTGAAATTTGTCCTGGTTTTCTTTCACGTATCACATTATCGATCACACAGTTAAGGAAAAAGGGGATTGAAACCTTTTGTTGTTGATTGTGTGCTTTTAAATAGATTAAAAGCATGGCAGCGTTGAAAAGGCCTGGGGTGATCATAAATTTAGGTTCTGCTTCGGGTCTTTATCCGATGTATCTTGACCCTATCTATAGTGGCTCTAAAGGTTTGTCATTTAACAATCAATTATGCATCTCCACAAAACTTATACTAACTTACTATCATTTTTTGTTTTCCCAAAAATTAACTTACTATATAGTTTACTAAACTGTTTCTTCGCTTCACAGGTGGTGTTGTTATGTTTACTAGAGCACTTCGTTTATACAAACGTAAAGGAATTCGAGTCAATGTGCTTTTCCCTGAGGTAAGAGTTGTTTTTGGACTTGAAAATTTTGATATTTTCAAAATAAATTCTACTCTACATTACAGTTTACTATAATTAATCCCTGAAATATTAATGTTTAGTGCAGTTTGTTGAAACTGAGATGGGCTTAAAGGTGGATCCCAAATTCCTTAATATGATGGGGGGCTTTGTACCTATGGAAATGGTGGTGAAAGGTTAGTCTGCATATCATTTTGTTATTTGGTGTGCCTTGGCAAAAATAGCATGAGTGTTTGTACTTTGTAGACTCTTAATTCACAATAAAGATGAGTTATTTTAAATTGACTGTGTGTTCTCATGGTTTTGTTCATTTTAAGATGAGTTATTTAGTTGTTTCATATTGCTGCTTACTGTTTGCAGAGTTGTTCATACCTTGACTCACAACTTTCAGAATGCTACCGGCTTAGTGAGAGCACCACTGAGATTACCTATCAAATCAAACTTTGTTCTTGTTAAGATAATTTATGCTGGTGTAAATGCTAGTGATGTAAGTTTTTACATATTTCTAGAAGATTTATGTGTGAATTTATTTTCTAGCTACAATTCTGACAAGAATTTGTATTGATAGGTAAAATTTAGCTCAGGCCGCTATTTTGGTGGCAATAACAATGATGCTGCAGCCCGTCTTCCATTCGATGCAGGATTTGAGGTATGATGTATCCCCAAACATAGATTTCTTTTATGAAGCTGATCACTTGATGCAGAATGCCTATACTCATATGTGTGCTGAATTTCATTTATATTTTAGGTTGTGGGAATCATTGCAGCAGTTGGGGACTCGGTCAATGACTTGAAAGTTGGCATGCCGTGTGCATTCATGACTTTTGGAGGTTATGCTGAATTCATAGAGGTGAGTAGTGGTTTTATCTCGTTGATTCCGGTTTCGTCGCATTTTAGTTTTCGCATTGATTTGGTAACAACAGCTGATTATAGGTTTACTCTCAGATTTATCATTGGTGCTGCGATTGGATGTTGGTTAAGTTACTTGAGGTTATTAAATAGGATATGATATTATGGTTTTCTGGTTTCTAGTTATCTCAGTCATGTTCATACTAAACTTTTAGGACTTGATTTTAAGAATTCTTTTTGAAATTTGATGATGGGTTTTACTGCTTGTATGACTTTCAGTTGTAATTATCTTTATAAGTTGCTTATGGCATCCGACTGAACCGGTTTCGGTTTTACTGCTGTTCATTCAATAGATATGTTTCCTATAGTTTTTTTTTTCCAATGATTGTTTCCCAATGATTGTTTTATAGATTTAGTTGCTAAAAATATGTTTTCATTGATGGAGAAAATGAAAGTTTGATTTAATACATCTCTTTGCCTGTTTTGGTGAAGTTTGTCCCCACTCAACCAAAGAACCTTCCTTTTGGTTTTTATAGTCTTCATAATTTGGCTCCCATTTTTCTTTTTCTTTAACTTAAAAGTTAAAACTAACTTTGTTGCTGGCCCACTAGTATAGACTTTTCAGTGTGATTCATTGCTTTGCTTTTTCCACGATATTTCGTGGTTTTTTCTGACTTTGTTGATTCTCTTGTCCTATTAGTATGTGGTTTTATTTTTTATTTTGATTTTAATTAAACTCTTTTATCATATTATCCATTGTAATGAATAGACAAGAGAGTCTTCCTTCTACTAACCAACAAGAAGGAAAAAGGAAGTTCACAATGATGAAACAAAAGAGTACATTGTAGTAATATCTGATCCTTCTTCACTTTTATCAACAAAATCTTTTAAAAAACTTGTAGTAATATATTAAACTCAAAAATATATTTAAATAAATTGCATGACATTAAAAATTAATAATTAACTCAAAAAATAATTAATATTGAAAAACAACATATAACTAGTTTGATATTAATTTTTTATGTGCAGATGATAGGAGTGGGAACTCTTGTGATGATGCCAATCTTAGGCAGTCTCTCAGACAAATATGGAAGAAAGGCTGTTCTCAAACTTCCAATGATCCTTTAAGCATGGTTTTGTCAGACTTGTTATCCGTCTCATAAGTAAGGACCGTTTCTTACAGCTCTGTGAATAGGTTGAATACAGGGTCTAGGGTGCGTGGATTCTTGACACGGCTAATTGGTTGTGACCCCTAAAGAAAGAAACTTCTAAGAGATTGTTGGTTCAACCTTGAATGTGTCAATTAGATGAACACTACCATAATGATTGAACTAAAACACGCTTTCATGTGTCCAATCCTCGATAGAGGGAAAAAGTAGAGAGACAAAATTTTCCCTGTGTGTCCAATCTCGTTTTCTTTTTGTTGTCAGCTTATGGTTGTTATTCATTCATTTTGTAGAAAAAAAAATAGACAGAAGAGATGACACGCCCTTATCATTCTGCTAAATATTTAATTTAATTTTCTGAAGATTGTTACTTATTTTGATATTTAGTGTTTGAAACTTTTTTCTTTCTGGTTGTGGACTTGTGTTTATCTGCTAATCATATTTAGCAGCATCTCAACTGAGGCATCAAATTTGCAATAAGAAGAATCTGAATATTGTAGTGCAACATTGAAGAATGTCATGCTTCAAAAGAGTAGTGACTCAGATCCTCTTGATAAATCAACACAACATGACACAAGTACTTCTTCTTTAGAGAATACGGAGTCCAATTTCAATGGCTTCCGACGGCTTCACCGACAAGAACGACGTGTTCAGAAAACTCAAAACGAAGTCTGAAAACAAGGTTCAAACTTCTACGCTTTTGTGATTTCAGTTACTCTATTTTGTTCTCTGATTCTCTAGAACACGTTTCAGATCTGCGATATCTGTGTGCTACTTAACTAACAGTGTCTTGTTAATTCCTCTAATAATCTATAGCTGATGTAAATGTCTTGATATTGTGTGTAGGTTGCTGATTTTGAGAAATATGATATTTGTGCTATGATGGATCTGCCAAATTGGACGCAGGAGAACTTTGCACTGGCAAGATACTAGTATGGTATTTCTATCACTGCCCTGTTGTAAATCATGTTCTTCATATCTAGTCTTATATGTGTCTACATGGGATGAAAATGCTTGTTTGTTATTTAATTTTATTATTATTCAGTTGTAAATTTGATGCATAGGTTTAACATGATTTGTCCAAACATATGCTATGCACACTTAGCTGCAACTCAGTTGGGGCAGTTCATGAAATTCGAGGATAAATCTAAGACATCCTCAAGCCATGGTGGACTGAGTGCTGCAGGAGCTGTACCTGTCCCCCAGCTTCCAAAATTGCAGGAAAGTGTGTGCAACTCTATGTTCTTCTGTTGAAGGCTTATTTGTTGACATAATGTTGTATATATAACTGTTCCAACCTAACTTTTGAACCTGGTTAAACTTTGTTAGCCGTAGGCTTGTTTGTTGACTTCTATATGTGAAGGCTTCCTTTTGATGTTAGTTAGATTATATTGTTATGTTTCTCTTAATTGTGTAACATTAATTGGTGACATGAACATTTGAAATGTATAGTGTGATTGTGGAAGCTTTGATGGTGGATAGTTTGAAAAGACTGTGCTCATCTTTGGAAAGTCTACTCAGAAAAGACTGTGCTCATCTTTGCAAAGACTGTGCTCATCTTTGGTTGGTACCTTTTATTATGGTATTCCTCATCTCATATTTTTGTTGTTGTTTTACAAGTTAAGCTGGAAATTACCTGTTGCTTGCAAATTTATTTTGTCAGTGTAAATTTTATATACAGGTACGCCCTTGGACCTTAATTATTCCAATATTTTTATGATCAAGGCAAATGGATTTTCTGCTTCAGATTTGGCCCCTACAGACCAGAAGCAACCAGCATGGAAGCCATATCTTTTCAAAGGAAAGCAGAGAATGCTGTTTACGACTCATGAGATTGTTCATGCGGCTCTCTATGACAGAGATGAGATTCCGGACAATATATCAGTTTCTGGTCAAATTAACTGTAGAGCTGATCTGAAAGGGTTGCCAGATGTATCGTTTCCCTTAACCGGATTAAACACAGCAAACCTTGAGGTTTCATCATACCATCCTTGTGCTCAAGTTTCAGACCAAGGTCCAGATAAGCAGGGGGTGGTGTTTTCTCCGCCATTAGGTAATTTTGTGTTAATGTGATATCAATCAACTTGTGCTCTTGGACCTCCGGTAAAGGGATTCTATCAGTTGGCTATGGTTTCTGAGGATAAAGGTGCATTTCTATTTAAGTAACGTCTAATGGAAGGTTATAAATCTCCTTTGACAATGGAGTTCTGTACTGTTTCTAGGAAGTTACCCATTGTTTTGTTCAGGGTTTCCTAAACAAATTACTCACCTACAGTATAGCCTTCAAAGGCAAATTTATCAACTTCTATAAAACTTTAGGAAAGTTAATGATTAAGCATTGTTAATTGGTGAAATTGTCATATGCTTCTATGTTCTAAACTTTAAGTTTTTCATTCTATATCCACAGTAAGACACTAACGCAATTTATATTGTCTTTATATTTTATAAAAGGCACGGGCTGGAGCAGATGTTGTCAGCCCCAGAGATATGATGGACGGTCGGGTAGGAGCGATGCGAGTGGCTCTTGATGCTGAAGGCTTTCAGCATGTTTCTATTATGTCATATACTGCAAAGTAATTTTATGGTCATTTATTTTTTCTTATCTTACTTTCTGTTTATGCCAGCATGCATTGGAAATTATTGAAGATTATATGAACTTAGAATCGATGGCTATCTATTATAAGTTGTAGCATTGGGTATCGGTGAAGATATTCAAAATGTGTGGCATATTGACATTTATAATTTTATAGGTGAAGCAGTTCTGTTATGCACAAGCTGGTTTCTTATGCAAGTTATACACAATTTTATCTTCCTTTCGCTAATAATCATAGCATTCGAATTCCGTTAGTTATGCACTGAACATTTCACCATTTTTGCTAATTGCTATTCATTTGTCACTGAGTTCACTATTATTTTGGTGGACGTTGCTATTAGTTAATGCATCTTTTCTTGGCAATTATATAACTCAATCCTAAATTATGCCATTTATCTGCTACCAACAGGTATGCAAGCTCATTTTATGGCCCATTTTGAGAAGCATTGGATTCAAACCCCCGATTCGGAGATAAGAAGATGTATGTGTTATCTTGAAATCAAACTTCATATCAAATATCTAATCTATTTTACATAATTGAATCTTACCTTGCCATAAATTTGGTCTGGCTGAACAAAAGCTACCAAATGAATCCAGCTAATTACAGAGAGGCTTTGACTGAGATGAGGGAAGATGAATCAGAAGGAGCTGATATTTTTTTGGTTGGTTTAGTTTTATTTTTGTTTCTTTATATGTATGATCATAGTTAGGAATGGAACTCATCATATGCTCATTTTTTACACTGACTTTAGAAAATTTGGATGTGCAGGTAAAACCCGGCCTTCCCTATTTGGACATCATAAGGTTACTTAGAGATAATTCTCCACTGCCAATTGCAGCATACCAGGTTCTATTCTGGCCTATTCTAAAAGTTGATCAATGTTCAATTATTTCGGACCAATGAATACTGATAACCTATATACTCACAACAGAAGTTCTTATACAATAGACAAAAGTGTCCCTAATTATTTCTTTGGACGGTACTCCTTCCATGGGAATAGTTTCAACTTCAGAGCACTCTGTCGAATGGAAAATCGTGACAAGTGGACGGGGACTGAGTGGAAAAATTATTGAAGTGACATTCCCCGGAACAGTCAAGTTTGCACCATGAAAAAACCAAGTGGTGTCTTCCTCTGGGTCGGTCTCTATATTTGACACTAATTGTTAAATTGTTTAGGGAGGAGTC